CGGGAGGCGCGGCGGGCCGGGGTGCAGAGCGGCGCGAGCGAGGTGTCGGGAGCTCGCGTGCGGCGCGTGCGTGGGGACGGCGCCCGCGCGGACGGTCGGGCAGGCCCAGCGCTCAGATTTCCATTCTGGCCCGGAGAGCAGTCGCGGGAAAGGCCGCTGGCTCCGTCCGGTGCGCTGCACGGGGAGCTCCTGGCGGGTTTGGACGGGAGTCCCCCCAGCAAGGCCTACCGGATGTTGACAGCTGCCTAAAATGAGCCATTAGGGCAGGCCCAGCTTGGACCACTGAGCAGAGACTCTGTGCCCACCAGCATTTTTATTATTCCTGGCGCTCCAGGGAGTTTCCTTAAAATGCGAAGCAGAAAAGCCTGTTGGTTGACATAATGTTGGGTGAAACTATTTGAGGGTCGCAGAAGTGTTTGCCTAAATTTTTGTCCCTTGCCGTCTTACGGTGTGTCATGACTATTGAATATTGATCTAAGGAACACGCTCGCATGTGTCCGTTGTGAGCTGGTATTCAACAGGAACACGTTTATTAAGAAATGAGCTCAGTGCTGGGAACGCGGTAATGAATCAGGTGGTGCCGGTTCCCTGACACATTTAAAAATTGCAAGAAATACGATTATGGATCATTGCAAATAGGAATATAGATAAGGAAAGTTAACTCTGCCCAGGTAATTTATCAGGAAAGTGCCGTGGAGGAAGTAACTTTTGCAGTGAGCTGTGAAGTTGGGTAAGAGCTCCCCAGAGAGATTCTCCAAATGTGTCGCCAGCACTTTGGAAGCCCTTTACCGGGGTAAGACGATGTGACATTCAGTGTCATAACCAGTTCCATTTGCTGCTCCATTTGACTAGAAATTATTACCCCAAAAGCAAGATAGAGCTGCCACCCAGGGAGCTCTAGCTGTCAGTGTCTGGTAGGCCTTGTTGGGGTCACCCTGATGATACATCACATTCTATTGTCATTATTTTTTTATCAGTCTGAGTAAACGTTTACATCTGCAAAATGTTTTCCATATAGATGTAGCACCGTTATCATAAGCGAAAACCTAAAAATACATTTCTAAATGACTCTATCCCCAGTAATTTCTTAGTCATTCAGTTCTGATCAACCAGATGACCTATAAGAGCTAGTTGAAATATGCAAAAGGCTTGATTACTACAGCAGATAACAGTGGAGTAATTTTACTCAGAAATACCAATTAAAATACCCTATTCTTTAGGAAAACATTCTTTTATGCTTGCTGAGTTTTGATTCTCTTTTTTTTTCCTTTTTTTCCTTTTTTTTATTTTAGTGTCTCAGATTCATTCTTAAGGAACTGAGAACTTAACCTTCCAAAATGTCAAGTAAGTCTCAATTTTTCTATTTATCGATCTATGTTAATAAGAAGCTAATGCCCTAGCAAGTGGGAATTCCAAAATACTCTCATTTTTTTTTTCTTCAAAACAGGACCATTGGTAGTTTTGTTGCATAGTATTATATCTCAGTTGTTTACAAGAAGTTATTTATTTTCTTTCAAACAGAAAGACCATCTTATGCCCCACCTCCCACCCCAGCTCCTGCAACAGTAAGTTTTAATTTTCTTGTTAATGTAATAGCCAAGTCTGGCCTTGATACAAAAACCCAGATGTCTTCCAGTGACAGTCACTTGATCATCACAGCCACAGGATGACAAATTCAGCTAAAAATCAGCACTTCCTACTAAATAAAATAACTCTCTGCGTCTTACCTCGAACCAACCCCAACATTTTAAAACCACATACTGTGAGATTCCGGCCTCCAACGGATCTGCCCCCTTTTTCCCAGTGGGAAGCAGTGACGAGTCGCCCCTTCCTTCTTGTGAGTCCCCCCGATCAGTCTTCCAGCGGTGCTGAGTGATACTCATGCTACTGGTTTCGTTTTGTTTTGAAACCCAACCTTCAGCTGGTTGTATTTTTCTCCCCTTTCCTGTCTGCGTACAAAATTTTGATTTTAAATCAGACAGGAGAGCCTCCTCGTGTAACCGTAGTCTCGTAAGGCTCTTATGTTCAAGCTGTTCAAGTCAGGGTTTCAGCGTCTGTGGGCGAGATCTTGCTACTCAGTTTGAATCAGCCTGTGAGTGTATTTTATTGGCTCGCGAGCAACTGAAGTGTTTCAATCATAGGTGTGAATGATTCTGTTCACCCAGCAACGTCTGGCCCAGCTTGACCAGCATGGAAAATAATTGCCTGACCCACAAATCAGATCTAACTGGAACAGTACAGGCCTTCTCGAAATGACTTCCTTGAAGGTTTTTTGGGGGGATTTTTTGTTTTGTTTCTTTTTTTAAAAAAATGCACTGTTAACCTGAGCATAGCCTACCACTCAGTTCTTAATAGCTACCTGTTAGTGTTTCTGCCCTGCCCCTGCCGCCAGCATTGCAGGCTGACCGACTTTGTACTCCCAAGTAGGTCCTCGCTTGATCTTGTTTTTGCCGCTAGATAACCAGTCTTACTTATTAACCCTCAGCTAGGTGGTGTAGCTCCATGTATCAGTAAGTTGTTTTTCCTTAAGGAGATGGTGCTTTTAAAAAGATATACTGTATAATGTGTTCTCAGTTCAATCCGTGTAACACACTCCTTAGAATTAATTCCCGCAAGTGGCAGGCCCTTCTCAGCTCCCTCTGCACATGCCCTGGCTGACCAGTTGAGGTTCTGACAGCACCCCCCAGCCAGGGCTGACGTGTCCCTCCTGCAGCCTGCAAAAGGGGTCATTATCCTGTTTCCTTCTCCAGTTTTTCAGTTCCCACTGTTCTCGCACTGTTGCGTCCTGCTGAACGGCGATCCCACTATCGCTGCAACCCTGGCGGGTGTCATTCTGAGGCACATGCTGTCTCCTCCCCCGACAGTGCGCAGTGTCTTAAGGACAGACTTGCCATTTTTGATGTTAAAATATTTCCAAAAGCATGTATCCTTTCTGCACAAATCCCTTCCGACGTCTCATAGTAGAGAGGAATCGTTTTGACTTTTTTTAAAGTCGCATTTCTGTATCATGACTTCACACTGACACACAAAATAGACCAGGAGTTAGGAACCTACCGGAATAGGTGCTGAGGGAATGACTCCTTTTTTTCTTTTCCGTTCCATTCCTTCCACCACCACCATCATCACCACCTCCTCACCACTCAGCTGTTCCACGCCAAGTAACATACACTTCTTTTGTACCTTTGATACTTCATCTGTGTTTTGCCTACTTAAATATGCTTAATTTGCGTCTTCCCGTTACATAGGCTAGAAGTTGATGAGTTGTCTTTTCTCCTGAAAAGTATCACACGTGCTGACTGAAGTGCCTTTTGGACCCTAAGACAGAGCTGCATACATATAGATAGGGGCATGTTTTCGAACATCGTGTTTGTTTGGTAACAAACTCAAGCTTAATTGGAATGTGTTACATGTATATACAATTCAAGACTGTTAATTGCATGTAAATGAAATTACTGCCAGTTATTTTGACTGCGTTCCATTAGGTAAAATTGCCCTACTGTTGATCTCTTTGCTGCATTCTTTCTATGCATTCTGCCCTGATGTTCATGAACGTTGGATGTCCTTATGTTGCCCGCAAGGCCACTGTTAGATAAGAGCCCGTTTGTGATTACATCAATGTGTAATTCACAAAAACCAAGAATTCTGCTGCTGCTGCTGCTGCTGCTGCTGCAGCAAGCAGTCGTGTTTTGAAAGGGAGCGTTTTCAGGAAAGTAGGTGAAAAGGGAAAGCTCGAGTCTGTCAGCTAGAAAAGCTGTTCCCGTTAAGACTAGGTGGAGAAATTGCTTGCAATTGACGTACAGAAGAGGATCAAAGAAGAGATGGAAAACAGCGTATAAAAGAATGACCGGGTTAGACCAGATAGCGCCCCGGAGGGAAGCCCATGCGTTTCTTACAAGTCTTTGTTTTGCAATCACGTATGTGACGTTCATTGACTCCAGCGTACATTCTTTCCTTTCCACAACCCCTGTTTCCCGAGTTGAGTCTCTCATCTGTCACATATGAAAGACTTAGAAGTGTCTTTTGAAAAGTAGACCCATTTGTTTTTATTTGTTTTTATTAGATGAATACATTGGTGGCATCCACATAGCTGTCAAGTAAATCATGTTTTGTTCTGCATGTTTTCAGACTTCTAGCCTGTCACACCTGAAGCTTCCCTACCTCAGACATCACGTATCAGTTACTGTCATCCTGCTGACCTTAAAGGACCCCAAATGCTTGAAACACTTGAGTGTATTGCTGACCTCAAAAAACAAGCCACCCACATTCACAAATCTCAGATACCCCCAGCTCCTGTAAAAAGAAAGAAAAAAAAAAACCACTTGTAGACTGATTGATTTCTCAATGAAAGAAAAATTTAATTTCCTCAATGAAGAAAAAAAAAAACAGTTACAACACATCATTGCTTGTTTAAAATCAGGTTGCTTTTGCATGCCATATGCAGATCATTTTTCATTTCTGTGTTCTCGTTTGAGCTCATTTCTCATTCGTGTTTTTGTCTCATTTGTTTCCATCAGCAAATGCCCAGCACACCAGGGTTTGTGGGATACAATCCATACAGTCATCTCGCCTACAACAACTACAGGCTGGGAGGGAACCCCGGCACCAACAGCCGGGTCACGGTAGGAGAATCAACTATTACAGCCTCCAGCAAACCACTGGGATGGACCAGAGATGCCTCCAGAGTTAGGGCTTTTCGAGTCATAAGCACAGCCATTTAAAAGAAAATCATTAAACCTGGCTTTTCAAGTATTTTAAACATCCATTGTACGATCTTAGACTGAGAAGGAGAAAAAAAAAAAAGATTTGGCTATTTATCAGAAGAAAGGAAAAATCCGTTGATGGTTGGCAGGGATGAAGCCTTGGGCACCTACTGTGTAGACTGCACGCAGTGCCCAAGCTGAGAATGTCCTTCCGGTTTAATGCCATTTATAAAGTGAAGAGCACCTTTCACTTTCCTAAGGTAATTGGCGTTGGTCACAAGGGCTCTGGGACTGATTTCAGAGCTGGTTTTTTCAGGGCTAGAAAGTTTCAGGCTGGCCTGCCAGTCTGAATGGCCACAGAGTTATTTGTCTTTTGGATTTAGTCATTGACCTTCTGAGACAAAATGTCTCCCCAGTTGACACTGAAAAAAGACTTTACTGTCTTCAAAGAACTACAGAATAAAAATGAAGTGGAATTAACTTGCTTTGACGTGTCAGACTAAACATGTACAATCAGAAGTACACTTCTCGTCCTTCCTGCCGGGAACGCAGTTTCCAAAACTATAGGTATTTCATGATCAAAGTTGGATGGTGTACTTCAAAGTTTTTATTTTAGAATTAAACTCCATTTAAGGAAGTGGAGGTAGCAAATGAAATCCAAAAGTCAAATTCCAACATGCAGTAGAGTGTGGCACTGGTGAAAACATATGGAACCGGAATGGCTGTAGGCTTTTGCTGTGTTCATAAGTAATAAGTGCCTTCGATTAATATAACTTCAGCAAACCCTCTCACCCTGTAGTCAAACACAGCTAAAGCTCAGAACTGTATGTCTATCTTGGTAAGCACATTGCTTAGCTTGATAGGTTTTGTTTGTCCAAATTTTTCATTGTTCTGCATAATTTGTACTTCATTAGCATATCGAGTTTTATGTGCCATGCATATTTCATGGTATCTGAAAAAATCTGCCGCAGCGTGTTGGTGTATGCACTCCAGCATGCATACATCTCTGTGTGCACTGGTGCGTGTCTCCCTGGCCTGATGTGTCCTTCACAGGTGTGGTGGGTGGCGAGGTTATTGGATGGTACAGAGCATCTCAGTTCAGTGAACAGAATCAATTTCGGATCGTTCGTATTAATGCATTTATTTATTCGTGGGCCATCAATAAGAATGATTATATTTAATAGCCCTTTACAGTCAGCTCTTGATTATCTGTGTTGATGGGCTGGGAATAAAAACAGTGCTCCTGGGATGATTTGATTTGGGGAGTGCGTGCGTGTGCGTGCGTGCATGTGTGAGCACGTTTCCTTCTTAGCTTGGGTTTGCTCTTGCGGAAGTGGGCTCCTTCACTGGAGACCTCGGGAGGTCCTAGCCAGTGACCTGGGACCGCCGAGCGCTGCAGCTCCCGCCTTGCCAGCTCTTCACTCTGTGACCCTTAAAGTGCTTTTAAGGACAGGTGTGGAAGTGGCCTGTTCCCTACTTTAATGAAGATTCTGTCTGAGAAGGACCCTTGGGTGAGGCCTGGCAGAGCAAGAGCTAGGACCTGGGAAGCAGCGAACCCAGACTCAGGTGGGCCCTGCAGTTTCCACTGCCCCAGTGGCTTGCTCTCTCCTGAGAAGTCTCAACACGTGTAATTTGTTTCCCCCCGACTCACTGAGAGTGAGAGCCACTGGTAAAGCTGGGTTTCCTGATGGCAGCAAGGAAAGCAGCTCTGGGAAGGAAACTCCAGCCCCTGCAAGCCGGGAGCAAGCGCAGCTCTCCCGGCTCAGGCTCAGGGTAGAAAGGGCTGCGTGTTCAGGGCGCTCATCGACGCTGCAGAGAGTTCTCTGGCCGACCCCTTCACACCAGCTGTCATTTCACTTGATGCTTTGGATGTTGGGGTGTTACTTTCTTTTATATTTTTGCAATGGTAAATTACCAGTCAGTGTCATGAAAATATCACTTCAGTGTGTAATGATTCATGTTCCTTCTTTTGGAGAAAGAAGGAAAAATAAGCAAACCCATTAATGTTATGAAAAGTGCTTTTTTTTCTTTTTTTTTTTTTCTTTTTTTAAGACAGAGACTTGCTGTGTAGTACTAGCTGGCCTTGAACTCACTATGTAGTCCAAGCTGGCCTCAAACACAGGGCAGTCCTCCTGACTCAGCCTCCCAAGTGCAAGGGTGACAGGCGTACACTACCATGCCCAATGATGAAGTGTGATTCTTTGAAAAATATAAAAAAGAAAATAAGTCTGTACTGTAGTGTTTTAGCTCATACCTAAAGCTTAAAAGGTTTTAGAATTCTTATTTTAAAAAATAGCTCCCAGGGTTCCGCCACCTTTGCCAGGGTAGCAGCCCGCCCCAAGGTCCTGGAGGTGGGGCAGGCTCTGGGCTGGAATGCTTTCCCAGACTTGGTGGCCTCCTGCCGTGAGTCCTTGATGTCAGGTTGGCTGTGTAGGGCTTGCCCTTCCCTAAGAGGTGGGCCTGATGCGGGGCTGCCCTGGCCCACTGCTGTGGGCAGTTTCTGTCAGCGGTAAGCCATCGCCTGCCACAGGCTAGAAGAGGAGTACATGTGCCGGCTCCAGCCTGAGGAGGAAGCACTTTTCTTTTTTAAATCTTTTATTTATTTATTTGGTACAAAGTCTTGCCATGCAGCTCGGACTTACAGTGATCCTCCCGTCTCAGCCTCCCCAGCACTGGTTTATAGTCGTGTGCCACCACACTGGGTTCTGGGGCCAGCACAGCATGAGGTGGTACTGGGGATCAAACCCAGGTCCTCACGCTTGCTGGGCAGGCACTTAGACCTGGGAGTTGTCTCCCTAGCCCAAGGAAGCACTCTTGAGAAGGCCAGGGCTGCCTTGACTCCAGAGAGCTGTAGAGTTGTTTAAAAGCGCGCTGGGGCAGGAAGGAGCTCCATGCAGGGAGGCAGGCATTTCTTGATTGTAATTGGCAGGGAGAGTGATGTGCCAGCCCCCAAGTTCTGGACTGAAATCGTGAGGCAAGGAATCTGGATCTTTGCCACAGTGACCACAGAGGGAAAGAGAATGTAGTGCTCTTGGGCTGGCCAAATAGCTCAGCGGATTAAAGCACCTGCAGGCAGGTACAGGGCCTGGGGGCTCGATCTCCCGGGCCTGCCATGCTGGCCCAAGGCGCACAGCAATTGAGACTGGGCGTGGTGGTACACTCCTGTAATCCCAGCTCTTGGGAGGCTGCAAACAGGAAGATCACTACAGTCCGATCTAGTAGTGAGACCCTGTAGACCCTTCCCTAAAATACAGGGGAAAAAAAAGAATGTAGTGCTCTTACAGACAGCCGCTCCAACTCCACAGGGGTCCCAGTATTCTGTCGGGACACAGCACATGACTCTGCAGAAGCCAGGCACAGGGGACAGCTGCTCGTGGCCTCGTGGCTTTGGCCTCTGCCAGGCACAGCTGCCTGTCTCCTGCCTAGAGTTCAGCCTGGCAAGGAACTCATTTCTCACCTGTTAGGGTCCCTCCGTTTTTTGTTTTGTTTTGTTTATTTTAGGGTTAGGGTCTACAGGGTGTTCAGGATCTCACTACTAGATTAGACTCATAATGATCCTCCTGTTTACAGCCTCCCAAGAGCTGGGGTTATAGGTGTGTGCCACCAGGCCCTGTCTCAACATGTCCCGGGGGCAGCTGGCACCGGCACCAGCATAGCAGGCCCAGGGATCCAGCACCCTAAGGTCCCTCTCTTTTTTGTTCTTGCCTACTTTGTTTTTTTTTTCTTTCTTTTTTTTGGTACAGGGTCTCACTCTCCAGCGTGGACTCATGGCGAACCTCCTGTTTTCAGCCTTCCCTGCACTGAGATTATAGGCGTGCACCGCCATGCCCGGTTTCAGGGCTGGCACAGCACTGGGCAGGCACAGCATGTGGTACCAGGGAATCAAACTGGGATCCTTGCACTTGCTTAAGCAGGCACTTAAACTGCTGAGCTATGTCTACAGCCCTCTTTTTACATTTTTAAAAAGATGCTTTTCAGAGTCTACATCCCCTTTTCTCCCGTCTCTTTCCTTCCATCCCATCTTTCCCTTTTTGTCTTCCTCAAAACTAAAACTTCTGTGGGCTGGGCTGGGCTGGGCTGGGCTGGGCTGGGCTTTATCCACCTCCCGCAGGAGGCTGTGAACTCGGGATTCACCTGCTCCTTTAGAGGACGGAGTCCCCTGTGTGGCCACCACTAGCCGACAGGTAGGCCTGGGCAGCACTGCCCTGGGGGTGCACTCCTGGCAGCATGGCCGGCGCCTGTGGACCGTGTGAGTGTGCGAGTGTGGATAATCCAGGGCTGACTGTATGCGCAGCGGCAGCTGAGCCAACTCCAAGGGGCCAGGAGTGTCCTCAGTAAGGCGCTCCGCGCGCAGTGTGTGGGTTCTTACGTAATACTCGTTTGTTCTTACAGCCAGATTGTCAGAGCAGTGGCAGTAAGCTGCCACGTGAGCCCTAAAGGTTACATGCTAGAAGTCATTTTCCTGTGATGTGGACGTTTCTGAATTTGCAGTGCTAGCTATTTTCCGTGGAGAAAATAGAGTCTTGTTCTCATGGACGAGTAGAAGAAAGAAAGACGCATTAGAATTTGTAAGGGACTCTCTTTTTCAGATTGCCAGTGAACTTGCGGGTGAATAACTAATGCATTTAACTCTTTTGTAGGCATCCTCTGGCATTACGATTCCAAAACCCCCAAAGCCACCAGATAAGCCGCTGATGCCCTACATGAGGTACAGCAGAAAGGTAGGCGCCCAGGCGGGGTGGGGGGGCCGCTGCTTCTCAGCCGCCCACGCCCTGTGAGGCCAGGAAGCCTGAGAGAGCAGAGCTAGGCTCCAGTAAGAGTGAGAGCGCCGAGTCCCAGCCCTTGAGGCAGGACGTGCTGCACACGGGAAGCCCATGCACTTGGCGAGAGGAAGTCAGACAAGCTAGAAGCCGCAGCCGCCGCAGTTACTGGAACAGGAAAGCCTGGAAAACGGCGGCTGCCTGGAACCAGCGAGCTTATCACTGCTCTTCTTTACAGTTCTTTGAATTTTCCAAAATTTTTTGGTGATGAAACTACATTACAGGGGCTGGGGAGATGGCTCAGTAGAATAAGTGCTTCCCTGGAAACCATATTACACTAGAAATATAACCAATATCTTGATTAAAAAGAAGAGTGTTTTGGGCCAGGAAGATGGCTCAGTGGAATAAGTGCTTCCCTGGCAAGCACAAGGGCCTGAGTTCAATCCCTGGTTCCACAAAAAAAAAGCATTTTAACCACCGTTTGCTCACTGGTGCTCATAACTTTACACCTGTGTTTGGCAATATGGTGATACGTTATGTCATGCAAATGAAACACTGGAACAGAGAGGCAGACTGGCTGCCGCTTTGCCATGTCTCAGGCGTCACATACCAGTAGTCCCAGCACTGGGGAGGCTGAGGCAGAAGATCGCGTTAGCCTGGGTGGGCAAGGCCCGCCTGGGCCACATAAGAGTGTCTCTAACAAGCGAACAGTCCAGTAACATGAAATGGTATGAGGACAACCTGTTGCTGACTGTTAAAGGCAGTTGATGAGGCATCCGTTGTCTCCTCTGCTTTTGTTTATGCTTAGAAGTTCTGTGTTAAAACATACTTTTAAGTGTCGGCCTGCTTTGAGTCAACATTAAAAGTTTTACCTGTTTCCTTTTAAGGTCTGGGACCAAGTAAAGGCTTCCAACCCCGACCTGAAGCTGTGGGAGATTGGCAAGATCATTGGTGGCATGTGGCGAGATCTCACTGATGAAGAGAAGCAAGAATATTTAAACGAATACGAAGCAGAAAAGGTGGGCGGGGACGGGGTGGCGTTGATTGCACGCACAGTGCCTGGGCGTGGGCCTTTACTGACAAGAGAAACCTGACTTGGCCAGAACGCAAGGTCGCCCTGCAGCTCAGGGTGCCGCGGCAGCCCCTCGCCCCTCGCGCCGGCCTTCTGTCCTCGTGTGACCGTGAACTGCACACCTTGGCTTTCAGATCGAGTACAATGAGTCCATGAAGGCCTATCACAACTCCCCCGCGTACCTGGCTTACATCAATGCGAAGAGCCGTGCAGAGGCTGCGCTAGAGGAGGAGAGCCGGCAGAGACAGTCGCGCATGGAGAAAGGAGAGCCCTACATGAGCATCCAGCCTGCGGAAGACCCCGATGGTGAGGCCAGGGTGCCGCCTCGACGGAGACGGGAGACAGCCCTGAGCGTTGGTTTCATAAAATAGCAAGCAACAGCCAAGAGCCCTTTGGCTAATCACTTCTCAGCCTTTTGGCTAAGATCAAGCGTAGTGTCTGTTCTCATCAGTTCAAAGAGCCCTTTTAGTAAGAGTAAGCTTTTTATGGGAATTTACCCTGAGAAAAAGACATTGTTTGCATCCTAGAAAGTAGTAAAGAGCATATTTGTGGCTTACCCAAATCTTATACTCAGGATGCCTGAAGTGTTTGGGGTCACGGTGGGATTCTGCTTGCCCTGCTTCCCAGGCGTCAGGAAAGAGCAAGAGGGCAGCGGATTCTGCCTGATATCTTTCCAGTTCCAAAGATTTGCTAAGAAAAGCTTGTAAGGCAAAAAGTTAATGAGCAGAGAGAAGCGTCTGAGGTCTTCCTTCCAGTCAGTTCTTCGATCCACTAGGAGAGCACAGCCCGTGGGCGGCATGCGCGCTTACACATGGCGAGGGCAGCGGGCACCCCTAGGCGGCTGTGCTGTCCCATGAGGAGCACTCCTCAGGTGCCCAGCCTGTTGCCTCTGTGCCACCACAGGGTAGAAAAGGTTGGCAGCTCTCGCTGTGCACTGTAGCAACATCAAGAACATAACTTAAGATGCCCTGGGAAGAGCAGTCACAGAGTTTTTAAAAGATTGGCTAAGAGGGCTGGGGAGATAGCTCGGCAGCATAAGCGCTTCCCTGGCAAGTGCAAGGTCCCGAGTTCAATCCCTGGTACTACAAAAAAAAAAGTTGGCTAAGATACTGGCAAATGCCCTCATCAATACAGTCAGTAGGTTGTAACAATTCAGAGAACAGATCATGGAGTAGAAATGATACTGAGTGTTAAGCCAAATCAGCAGTGTTAGAGACACTAACATACACAGCCACGTAGTTCTCTGAATGTGATTGGTAATGCAAGAAAAGCATACAGAACTGAGACACGGGATGCAGAGCTGTAGTAGCGAAACGAAGGCTGGCAACAAGCCGTAGGCCAGAGAAGAGGTCCACGAGTGAAGGATGATGGCTGAGTCCTGGCATTTGGGGAGGCTGAAGCAAAACCCCAAGCTCAAGAGCAGCGTGGACAACCTAGAGTCTTAGCAAGACCTTGTCTTAAAAAATAAAAGACTGGATGCTGGGGAGATGGCTCAGTAGAATAAGCGCTTTCCTTGCAAGCGCAAGGGCCCGAGTTCAATCCATGGTTCTGCCAAAAATAAAAATAAAGGACTGGGGTGCAGCTCCATGTGAAAGCCCTGGGTTCACTTTCTAGTACCACCAAAAATTTAAAAAAACAGTGTGAAATTGAAAAGGAGTAAAGAGATTCCCTCAGAAACAGTCTCAAGTGAGCTGTAAGATAGGGCTTCAGGGTGCCAGCATCGGGATGGTTTGAGGTCCTGAACTCCCCCTCTGGAGGTGGACCAGGCTCATGAAGGGAAGCGAGGCACAGGCATGCTGCCCAAAAGGACAGCCAGGCGCCGCGGCCCACAGGGACGGCGGAGGCTGTGAGCAGTGACGCTTCAGAGGGCGTCACCGCAGCATGGTGGCAGGGCTGTAGAGCTTGTTTCCTGTGGCTCTGCAGGCGTGCCGAGGTGGGGCCCAGATGGACCCTGTTCTCGTGAGGATTGCGCAAGGGCGTGCCCTACCTACTTCTGGGCAAGTTCCTTCCGGACAGTAGGGAGAAGGCAGTGGCAGGTGAGCAGGTGTGTGGCACAGAGAAGAACCAGGACAGCCCGAGCAGCGGGTGCGGTGGAAACCTTGTCCGGTGATGGAAATGAGTGTGTGGCCAGACCCACGTGCGCGCTGCTCACGGCTGTGTGGGGGCGTGACCTGGCACAACTAAGAGTACATGGGGAGCAGATACTTGTTCTTTCCTATAAAATTACTTCACATCTTTAATCGAGTAAAATGTCGATGCTGCCTGGGGACCTGAGTCTGGTGAGCTTTGATTTTATAAGTGGGGCATTCACGCATCTCAAAGAGCCAGCCCAGCACACACGTCACCACCAAGCGTCTCGCGTTTGCAGAATTTCAGTCGCAGGCCCTGCATCTGGATCCTGAAGCCAGGGCCGTGAACATATTCTGCCACGTCTGGCTCTAGCAGGTGCCCGCCATGCTCTGCGGCGCAGGCCTCACTCTTGGTGCAGCATTGTGTCCTCGCGCCCTCCTGCTCGTGGTCACCGCAGCCCCGTCTGCAGAGCATCTTCTTCCTCCAGATTACGATGATGGCTTTTCCATGAAGCACACGGCCACCGCCCGTTTCCAGAGAAACCATCGCCTCATCAGTGAAATCCTCAGCGAGAGCGTGGTGCCCGACGTCCGGTCCGTCGTCACCACCGCTAGAATGCAGGTCCTCAAGCGCCAGGTCCAGTCCCTCATGGTTCACCAGGTAGGCCTGGCCGCACCGCCCGAGAAGCATCTGAGCCCGTGCTGGCTGGGGGAGCCGGCACGGAGCACTGGGCCCTGGTCCAGCAGCCCGGCACGCTGTCCTTCATGAGCGCGGCAGAGCCTTGCAGCTCGGCGCCAGCCGTGAGACACCGGGACAGCCTGGCCGCCTGCTGCTGTGCTGCTGCTTCCCAGAGTTGCTCAGGCCTGGAGCGGCACCCTTTAGTTCACTGTATTAGTCGTGGTTACCCTTCTGTTACATTTTGTTCTTAAAACTGTAGCTAGAATCATGGAACAAGTGGTTCCACTAAACATGGGAAACATTGTCGTGCTGCTTGACTGTGGACCATTAGAGCAGAGGCGTAGTTCCCGTGTGTGTGGGTGTGTGGGTGTGTGGGGGGGTGACGTTTGCTGCAGAGGAAATGAGTTGTTGTGAAAGCTGATTGTGTTTCTTACAGCGAAAACTGGAAGCCGAACTCCTTCAGATAGAGGAACGGCACCAGGAGAAGAAGAGGAAATTCCTTGAAAGCACAGATTCATTCAACAACGAACTCAAAAGGGTACACCGCTAGCCGTGCCCTCCCCGTCACTCTGCTGTCCTTGTCTTTTTTTCCAGAATGTTTTATAGGAAAAAAATAAATAATAATAGAGAATTTCAAAACAAGATGATAGTGGTTATTACATTCCATGTTATCTCCAGAGTAGTTGCCCAGACCACCCGATAGTATTTTTATTCTTGCTAAATTTGAAACAGCATTGACTTCACCATCTAACCTGTAACATTTCTGCGTTGTAAAAGTATTTCTATTTTTAGGAAAAATTACAAATGAAGCTGAAATATATATATATATATATATATATATATATGTGCCCTAAGCCCATAGATGCTAGCTCTCCAAGTTTTTTTAAACTCCTAGAGTTAGGAGTTGTGTTTATTGAAATTTACTCATCAAAATGTTTTAATACAGCTCGTACTTTATGCTAAATCTGGGTTCCACACTGAGAACTAAAAACCGGAAGCCTGGTGTTCAGCGCTGCCTCCTACCTTTCCCCCTGCCTCCCTGTGACCTTTGCTGTTAGGTTCCGGCCTCCAGGACAGCTTCCTTACCCTGCAGGATTACAGGGACGCCCGGGAGCCATCCCCC